AACATGGACTGCCAAGATGTTGTCCCGGTAGTACTGGCCTGTAACACGCCCTGCAACAACATGTAAAGCCGTTCTTCCAGCAACAGTGATGCCTCCCCACACCATAACAGAACCACCCCCAAATCGATCATATCTGATGACGTTAACGTCTTGGAAGCGCTCGTTTTGACGACGCCACACCCTCCTACGTCTGTCCAAAAAATCAACAGTGAACTTTGACTCATCTGAAAACATCACATTGCTCCAGCGTCGATTATCCCAGTGTTGACGATCCCTACACCAACGACGTCTTGCCTGAATGTGATGATCTCTCAAACAAGGGATCACGCGAGGACGTCGGGCGCGAAGGTGACTCCTATGCAGTCGATTCCGAATCGTCTGGCCACTCACTCTCACACCAGTGTCTGTTTGAAGACGAGCGCTGATCTGATTTGCTGTGATGACACGATTTCTCAAGGCCAAGGTACGGATAAATCGATCCTGGGCTTGAGTTGTCGCCCTTGGTCGACCTGAGCGTGGTCTGTCCTGTACAGATTGTGTATCACGGTATCTGGACCATAGCCTGCTTATGACAGACTGAGAAACATTCATCGTCCGCGCCACAACCGCCTGTGTTGTGCCGATCTGTAGCATGCCAAGGGCACGTAACCTTTCATTTTGGGTAAGCCGACGCATATCAAAATTTGTTTTCTGGTCACTAAAACAATTAAACTGATGTTTCCACCCTGGAATTCAATGCCACAATGACTGTAACATTCAAAGTCAGAGTCGTGCAAATCTTGGGTTGGACCCCCATGATGATCCCAAGCATCACCTGCATTCCATGCGGTAGCTATTGGTGCGTTTGGGCGTCACATGTAACTGGAAATGTTTCTTCTGTTAGGTTCTATAGTGACTTTTTTCGTAGTCATTTGCATACTTTAGTATTATGCCCCCAAAATCAAATATCCCCTACTTTTTTTGAATAGTATAATATCATTATCAAATTATCCAATGAAACTTGGTTTTCTTGCACACTATCAAGCTTTAAGACACGAAATGAAATGAAATAGGTTTAACCTCCTACAGTTCTGCTCTGACTGGGATAATGAAGACGGGTATACACCATACAGTGTGCTATGAGGGAAATTTTGCCCGGGCAGCGGCACTATCGCCTACTCTTATATCAAATTCCAACTGCCAGGGGATCTTTTACGTGCATTCCAATATATACACAGGACCTACTCTTATATTGAATTCCATCTGCCAAGGGACCTTTTACGTGCATGCCAATGGTTTTTCGTCCCATCCGAACGACTAGACGGCGGTCCTTGTCAGGCCGTCCGTCCTGCACTGCTGACAAGAGGAAACCACGTCTGAAAATCCTGATGAACTTTCTTGGCCAATACAGGGATCGAATACCCGACCTCCTGGTTAGCAAGCCAGCGTCTTACTCACTTATTCACGCTTTAAGACATCAACTTCAACATATACATAACAAAAACGTAAATATAAACCCATAATTTGAATTTAATTTTAAAAAAACTACAACAAAAAAGCAAAAAAAAGGAAATAATCTCAAAATATAATATATGTCACCTGTGCTTGCAAATTGAGTCGCAATGAGGAAATTTTCACAATTGAGGGGGTTATTGTTATTTTCACATTCCCCGCCTCCATACCTTCAAAATGATATATGTTTGGTGTGAATCGTGCAAAAATTGACTGAGCTACATCCGTTTGAAGTTGCATGAGTTAGAAAAGGTAGTTTTGAGAAAAAGCAAGTTAAAGATGTTGGTATGTTCTAAAACAAAATTACATAGCAACCACCTCATAATATTTGTTATTTTATTTCTTTCAGTGTTACAATTTAAAGAGAGAGAGAGAAATGGGGTTTAACGTCCACTCAACACAAACTTGGTCATTTCGGGACTAACACATGGTTCAATTTTATTTCAATAATTCTCTTGCGCGTGGGAGGAAACCGGAGGACCCAGAGAAAACCCACGAGGTTGGACAGGCGACCCTACTCCTTGTCACGTACAACCGGGGATTCGAAACCACGCCAGTTGACTCAATGACAGACTTTATGATACAGCACGCACGTGCTAACCATTCGGCCATCCAACCCTCCGTTACAATTTAAAACAAAGGAGAATAATCCATACATTAGTAATCTAGGTATTGTATATTATAACTTTCATGGGAATAACTTCTGTTAAGCTCATCCATTAATTAGCACCTTAGTGTTAGTGCTCAGGAGATTAAAGATTGGTTCCCCCGTACAAACTGGTCGATTTAATGGTATATATGGACTAAAAACATATTCAAACTAATTAATTTGTCATAATTTTGCTTCAAATCCTTCTCAAACATTGTAATTGCGAAAGGAATGTCCTGCTATAAAAATTCGATCAAACCAGGTCATGTTTACGTCACGGGACTTACCTCTCTTGGAAGTCAGAGGAGAATTCATTGCATACATAAGACAATGTTGTCTTTAATCGCTTACTATTTATTACAAATATCGAATCCTAATTAAATTCTCGGATTATCCACTACCCGCTTCTTTTTCCGTCATTTTTATCTCAGAAAGTGTTGTATGTCTAACTATTCATAAAGTTTATCAACTTGTACATCAAGCGCTCAATGTTCGCGTGTGACCTTTGACATCACGCGTGCAGAAATTCCTAATCGTCGGGCTGTCGATTAGGGGAACCCTTACATTTTTGTCCTGTATACACTCCATGAGTGTTTTTCGGGGAATCCAGTATTTTTCTAGTCAGATTGGATATCTCTACTTTCCATATATACCAAAATTACCATACTTTTATTGGAAATAACCACCCGATAAATACTTTTCTGGGAACCCATCTTTAAGATTGTTGATTGGGTAATCAGGTTTAGTCTTCTTTTATCTTCATCCGATTCATTTTGTCAGCACGGGTCACATATATGAAATAATACATTTGTAACAATAGATGACTATAAGCTTCCATCTGATATCGCAGTAGACATGTTCAAAGTCAGGGGGGTTGGATGGCTGAATGGTTAGCGTGCGCGCGCTGTTTCATAAAGTCTGTCATTGAGTCGACTGGCGTCGTTTCGAATCCCCGGTTGTATGTGACAAGGAGTAGGGTCGCCTGTCCAACCTGATGGGTTTTCTCTGGGTCCTCCCACTGCTAAAGACCCCCACACGCAAGCGAATTATTGAAATAAAATTAAACCATATGTTAGTCCCGAAATGACCTAGTTTGTGTCAAGTGGATGTTAAACCACATTTCTCTCTCGCTCTCTCTGTTCAAAGTAAACAATTAAAGTTTTAATGATCTTGATAAATTAATATCGATAGTTCCTCTAATCTTCATACTAAACTTAGGCTGTCTGTCTACAGTTAGCTCCGTCTGAGAACAGACACTAAGCTAGTTGACTGACATTTTAGTACTAAATCAATGATTTTAGTCAAAAATTTTGTTGAGTATTTATTCTGCTTTCATTTAATAAAGAACAAAAATTCACCTCTGCGTGACGTAATGAGATAGAGAGAGAATTGGGGTTTAACATCAATTGACAAAAATTAGGAAATATCGGAACTACCATATATATATATATAGCAATGAGTAGAAAACAGAGGACCAGGAGAAAACCCACAAGGTTTTATAGGCAACCCTGTTCCTTATCATGTACAAGCAGTTTATCAAAATTATGCCACTTGAACCAATGACGGACCTTATGATGCCACTCGGCCACCCTTCTGGCCTAATGAATATCTTGTACCATTACTATATATTGTAGAGCAGTGATTCTCAACCAGTGTGCCGCGAGATCTTCCTAATTGTGCCACGAAATTTTGAATGGCACACTAAGAAAATGTGAAAAGACAATTGAGTATTTATTGGTGTCTACTGATAAGTTCATAGCTGTGTTTTTCTTTATTTAGTTTGAGTCATTATATATGTCTATGACTTACCATTTTTATATTTTGCAAAATTATTTAGTCAGGTGTGCCGCTATTTTTTCAAGTGTTCCTGGGTGTGCCGTTGGCAAAAAAAGGTTGAGTACCGTACCACTGTTGTAGAGGAACTAGAATGTGCCTCTACTTTTTGAAAAATAGAAAATATAACTCATGACAGCTTTTAAACATACATTATGCAAGAGCTGATTCTGCCTATTGCAAGTCTTTCTTTAGGCCTATAATGTTATCTAAATTAATAATTAGACATTAATTAACTTATCCAGACCATAATCAACTCTTGATGCCATCGCTAGCCTTCGATTTTACTGGATTTGAATACATTTTGTGATGGATGATTTAACGTCAAAATGGATAAGCAAGACTTTGTTTTTTATTGTACTGACTTTAGTAATGATGATCAAAAGCTAATATCTTGGTTCAGAGGGGAACAATTTGACTAAAATTTTTCCAGCATATTCCATTTAAGTTATCTATGTTTTAACTATTATAGCGAGAATAGTCAACTCTTTATCTAATCTCCCATAATACCTCTTTAAAGGAGCTAAATCGCTAATATTTGGGACCTAGAAATTGACACAACTGGGTCGCAACTCATATAATACCGTAATATGAATGTATATAAACTGATTTACATTCAATCGTTTCCGTTTTTACTCTAATTTCAAATCAGTTATGTTCCGTGAAATAAGCCAGCAGTCTCAATCGAGTGCAAATTCCTAGCGTCTGGTTATTCCAGTCTACATAAGCCGTTTGGTTTGGTGCAATATGTCTAGCCTCGTTCCTCTAGTCTCTTGCTAGAACTGGAGCTGAAACGCATTATGGTACACGATTCGTGTACCAATGGTAAAATATTTATTTTGTCTTAAATATTGGATATCAGAAGCCCACCCTTTTCCGGTAAGATCACAGCATCAATGTTGTTTTAAATTGACAAATAATTTGTGTTTTAAATGTTGAAGATTTTGGATGATATTGAGTTAGAGACTTAGCTCGTTTAACCAAGAATATTAAACTTGTGTTAAAATCAACGAACAAAAACTGAACATAAGGCACAAGCCAAGTAATTATTCACCCTCGTTAATCTTGAAACAAAAAAAACATGTGAACAAAAATTTAAGTTAAAAATGTAACTAAGGGGAAACTACTCATGTCAGCTCTGATAGACTTTTGGTACTGCTATTATAGTATCTGCTTCTGAAAATAAAACAACAATTATTACCCTATAAAGTAATTTACAAATCTTAGGGAGAGAGAACTAATATATATTTTGTTTGCACGTAGGGGGCTTTAGCAGTGGGAGGGAAATGGGGGACCCAGAGAAAACCCACGAGGTTGGACAGGCGACCCTACTCCTTGTCAGGGAAACTACGGCAGTTGACTCAATGACAGACCTTAGGATACAACGTGCACACGTTAACCATTCGGCCAACCAAACCCCACAAATCTTGAGAAGCAAATTGTTAATTTACCACCTAATCAACATTTGGTATATATAAGTTAAATCCTGATGTGTCATTTCAATGCTATAGAATCACTTGCAAAATACAATATTGTTAAACTGGAATCACTAACAGAGAGAGAGAAAGAGAGAGAGAGAGAGAGAGAGAGAGAGATGGGGTTTAAAGTCCACTTCACATAAACTAGGTCATTTCTGGACTAACATAATATGGTTCAACTTTATATTTCAATAATTCACTTGTGCGTAGGGGTCTTTAAGCAGTGTGAAAAATCAGAGGACACGGAGAAAACCTACGAGGTTGAACAGGCAACCGTACAGCCTGGGAATCTAAACCAAATCACTTGACCCAATGACAGACCTTATGATGCAACATGTACGCGTTAATTATTCCGCCACCCAACTCGCCCTATCACTAATACAGGGTTCCCGCGGCTTCGTCAAACATTTTTTCAAGGATATTCAAGGATAAATATACGTCAAATTCAAGGAGTTTCAAGGACATTTTTTAGCCTAAAGTTACAATTTTTCATCTTAAAAATAACCAAAACATTACCAACTATCGTTATAATCTCATATTTAAAAGGAATTGAAGACATTTGAAACAAAATTAAGGATCTCAACTGAAATTCAAGGATATTTTCCTATTTCCGCGAAATTCAAGGATATTCAAGACCTTGAAAATGAAATTTTAAATTTCAGGATATTCAAGGATTTTCAAGGACCGCGGGAACCCTGTAATAGGCATATCAATCCAAATAGGTTCAACTCTGTTCAGTATTTACAAAGATATGTGGAATTGAAATTTCATTGACTTAGGCTCTCCGCTGTGTAATAATGCTGCCACCATTTTGTTGTCTCAGAAAATTTTAATCCAAACCAGCAGGACATTATCTATCACTGGTATTTTTCTTTTGTTTTACGTATTTACGTACTCAATCTGAGTACATATTAGCACAGCTGAAGTCATGCAATATCTTATATTTTAGCGTAAAATGCAAATAGAACATCAGCACTAAAATAGGCTATCCTCCATCACAAGTCTTGCTATACAGCATTCACTCCTGTTGTCAGCTCATGAGCAGGCCCATAGCTGGGGAGGTGGGGGGGGGATGGAGGGGGCGTCCAACCAATGTCACTCGGCTTTATAGGGGTTTGTCGTTGGCTTCGTAATGGGAAGGGTGCCAATTTTTTCCCAGAAGGTGCAGCTGCCCCGCAGCTAGCTACGAGCCTGAAGAGTCACGTATCATCATGTGAATATGTGAATACTGCATGGGTGAACCCAGTGTATTGTGGAGTAGAACGGAATGAGACCACTCGGGCTACTAAGGATGAAAATACATGGTTAATAATAATACTAAAAGCCACTTAAATTCAAAGTCATCAACACAAAATGACCGATTAAATATAATTTAAAAGAAAAGAATTATTTAATTACCTTTTTCGTGTAATAAATTATTTAAAACTAGACCATAAAATGAAGATACAGGTGAATTATGAGAATGTTTATGAACTGCTTGGAATAACCTGAAATAAAAGAGCACAAAAAAAATAGGTTGGCAGACAACGATACATACGCCCAGGGCTCACACCGGCTTTTCCGCCAAAATGGATGATAATTTTTATATAAAAAAACGTTCATATTTTTTTTCCACCAACTGGAATATTTTATCTGCCAAAAATGTGTGATGAAAAAAACAACATCTAACAATTTTATATCTCAGCTAAGTTTATTATAAAACAATTACCGATATATACAATACAATATACAACAACTTTATAAATCCAAGGATTGCCAATTTTCTATAAATTTATGTGTACAATGGGCCTATTGTTATTTTAAAGCGATAATTTCATATTTTTAAGTTATATTTTTAAAATGTATTAAAATAAAGCCTTAAAATATATTGTATCTATAAACAGTCCTACCTTGTTAAGGAATAATCCTATTAATCCTATAATTAGCTATTGCCAGTTGAGAAATTGGCAAAAATATCATTTTCAACTTCAAATTCAAACGTTTGAAGATAGCTATTCCATGGGGGGGGGAAATAGAAAAACAAGGGAGGTAATTGTGTAGTTGACAATAGTGAGTTGACAACCTATTGAGCAAAAGACATAGAAATAATTATGTTTTGACTTTCTTTGAAAATATGAAATTCTCGCTTTAAGGTACCGTAAAAGTATCAGAATCTGAATCCCTGATAGAATGATATAAATTGCAATTCTATTTGTAAGAGATGCTTACAATTATACCGCCGTTAACTTTTAGAGCATTTTGGCGACGGTAATACGATACAAATGGCGAACTGTTTTCTCACACAAGAATCGTCACTATTATCGACCAATGGTGATAATATAATTTTAAAATAATGATATATGATAGGCATGCTTGTATATTTTACATGCCGTACATGAAGCCACTGTAAACGGAATTTAGCTATCAAAATATTTAATTCTCTTCGAAAGGAACTGTCGGCCATTTTGATTACATGTATTACAATTTTTTTTTAAAGACGAAACGTAAACATCAAATAATCAACGCTTGGATCAATCATTAGGAGTAAATAATGACTTGAGATAGGCTTTATGTATATACACATCATTGGCAATTATCAATCATTAATCCAAGACAACTTATTAGTATTACTCATTGACGCGATTCGGATTATCAGCCAGTTGATTAATTTATAGTATCCCACTCAATAATGGTTAATCCAGGATCAATACGATTAGAATTTTAAGATTTCTTTCCGCCAGTTCTAAAAAAATATTGCCATTACCGCAAAACATTATCGCCAAAATCAGATTTTAATCGCCACTTTCATATGTTTATCGCAAATTGCGACTTTGGCAACTGACAGTGTGAGCCCTGCATATGCCCACAGCAGCTAAATCGTCCGAGCGGTCGAAAAGGGTTGGTGCATATTTATTCATTTGTAGGTAATTGGGGGCATTTACAAGACAATATCGTACAGATCAGATCATAATTTTCGTTGTTTGTGGGTTCACAAGATTCTACGAACTAAAACAAGGGCCTTAACTTTGGAAGTAATTAACAGAAATTGTTGAAATTTGTGAGGCTTTTTCGTTTTACTAATTCAAATAATGCATATAAATTTCATACAGATCTTATGATAACTTCTGTCATTTGAACGTTCAGAAGGTTCACAAAGAAAAACAAGAGCCATAAATCTAGAAGTGATGGACAGAAATTGCTGAAATTAAACAGACTTCTTTGTTTCACTAATCTAAATGATGCACATAAATTTCATACAGATCGAATGATAACATTTTTCGGTCGAGTATTGACAATTTTAAGGTTGAACAAAGTGAAACAACGGCCATAACTCTAAGTGTAATGAACGGAAATTGTTGAAATTCAATAGGATTTGTCGTTTCACTAATCTGAATGATGGATATAAATTTCATACAGATCGAATGATAACTTTTCGCGATAGAGCGTTCACAATGTTCAACAAAGTACTGAACGGAAATTGCTGAAATTCAACAGTCTTCTTCGTTGCACTAATTTAAATAATGCATACAAATTTCACAAAGATTGGATGATAAATTTTGGTGTTAGAAAGTTCACAAGGTTCAACACAGTGAACCAGGGGCCATAAATCTAGTAGTAATAAACGGAAATTGCTGAAATTCAATAGGATTCTTCTTTTTCTAATCTAAATGACACATATAAATTTCATACAGATCGACAGATAACTTTTGATGTTAGAGTGTTTACAAGAAGTAAAAAAGTGAAACAAGGGACATAACTCTAGAAGTATTTAACAGAAAGGCTTCTTCAAATAATACATATAAATTTTACAAAGATCGAATGATAACTTTTGATGTTAGAGCGTTCACAAGGTGCAACAAAGTGAAACAAGGGACATAACTCTAGTAGTAATTATCGGAAATTATTTGAATTACATAGGCGTCTTCATCTCTCTAATATAAACAACATATATCAATTTTAAAACAATCGGATGATAGCTTTTGGGGTTCACAAAAAATTGTGGAGTACAGATGGACGTACAGACAGGGGCGACGGCATAATACATCCACATGAAAATGTGTGCGTATAGAAATGCAAAATTAAGTGGAGGATTTAGACAATATTTCCCTTTGTCCTTGCAAATGTTCAGACAGCAAGTAACCATATTGAAAAGTCTCGCTATGTGGTCCATATTTGTTATAGACAATTTAGGCTTGACTGAGCAAGACTACTAATATTGCCGAGAAAAGATTTGATGGTCAAGACGCAGTAGTTAATGGAATACTAACCATCCAAGATGTGACCCACAGCGTGGACAGACCACTATCGTCCAATCAAATCCAGGAAACCAACTGTCTTTTTCATGACTTTTATCAACTTTTTGTACTTCTGCTGATTTTGTTGTTATAACTTCAAAAAACTGGCCTGTTGTTAAAATACATTTCGTCAAACAATTATTGCTTTCTTGGGTCAAAAATAACATACATCACAAACTAATATAATTGTAAATATTATGGTAGGCCTAACTTTTGTTTTGTTTTTTTATATTTCAAAATTTCATTTTATTTGTCAGTACTACACTAGGATCTCTAACCTGCATTCTGGATGTCATGAGGGATTAGCCAATCAAACCATCTGTTATGTACAACGACTTCTTGGCGTGCGATGAATGAGCGTTTAAATGGCAATTTTAGGACAACCATATTTACCACATCATTTTGCTATGGAATGATAATGAAAGGGCCGTTGTTTTAATTGGATAGAAGTCTGAAATCAGCCAACAGTATATGGCGTTACTTGACAGACTAATGTCACTGGATGCTGATGGAGAATGCCCAAAGGAATTATAGCTACTGTATTAGAGAGAGAGAGAGAAATGGCATTTAACGTCCACTCAACACAAACTAGGTCATTTCGGGACTAACATACGGTTCAATTTTATTTCAATAATTTGCTTGCACGTAGGGATCTTTAGCAGTGGGAGGAAAGCCTTGAGGTTGGACCGGCGACCCTACTCCTTATCATGTACAATCATGTACAACCAGAGAATCGAAGTCACGCCCATCGACTCAGTGACATACCGTATGATTCCCCCACCCTGAGTTATTGTATTAAATACGATCTATGTTAGAACGACATGTCTAACATGTTTAGCTTGTTTTTATGTACAGCTTGTGTCATTGCATTTATTGTCGGTATGACATTTTAAAATGGAATACTAGAGGGCAAATTAATGCGGAGGCGGACAACAATTGGTTTGGTGCAAATTGTGCGCTAAGCATGCACATAGATTGATCAAAATGACAAAACTTCTTGGCTTCCCTTATTTCAAGAAATTGTAGAATTACTCTTGCAATATAATTAAGAAGAGTTTTTTTACAGGAGCTTTTTTCTCATTTTTCAAATTGTCAGAAGTTTTTTTATGGCTCCTGCACCATTTCGTAAAAGTGAATGACTGCTTTATGTCTCAGATTGCTGTTCGAGTTGCCTACCTTGTGGATTTTTAAAAAGTTGTATCAACACAGGATCAGAGCCTGATAATGTATCATTTCTTTGTCGATGTGCTAGTTTACTGGCAACCGTCATTAACTCTGATGTCTGTGTTACTTCATTACCACAAGCTCGACATAACAAGTAACCTACAATAATATTTTAAATAAAAATAGGTTGCCAGGCAACGAAACATATGCCCACAGCAGCTAAGTCGTCCGAGCAGTCAACCTACAATAATATTTTAAATACAAATACATAACATAAATATGATAAATAAGTTAAATTATGTCTTACATAAATGGAGAGAGAGAGAGAGAGAGAGAGAGAGAGAGAGAGAGAGAGAGAGAGGGTTTAACTCCACTCCACACAAACTTGGTCATTTCGGGACTAACACATGGTTTAATTTTATTTCAATAATTCGCTTGTGCGTAGGGGTCTTTTAGCAGTGGGAGGAAACCGGAGGACCTTACGATACAGCACCCACGTGCTAACCATTCGTCCATCCAACCCCCTACATATAAATGGAAGACTCAAAAATGAATATCCCAAACTCTAGTTTGAAAAATCTGTCATGTACAGAGCCTCTGAATCTTATAGCTTTTTGCAACTATCCTGGCCAGGGAGGGGTCAGGAGGTTTTAGTTTGTTTCTAGCTTTTTTCTAGGCCCATGGGTGAACATGTTAAAGATACATTATGGAAGATTAGATAGAGAGCTGGCAGTTCTCAGTGAAAACTTCTCATCTCACTATACTAGTTAAAAACTAGATGATGTAAATGGATTATTCTGAAAATTTCAGTCAAATTGCTTCATACTTAGCCGAGAAAACCTTATTTTAAAATATCTGTAGCCTCAAATTTCACTGTTACCTGGCGCTGTTGCGATAATTAACGAAGTCTTAATTATCCATTTTTGCATTTAAGCATCAACAGACATTGAACAGCAAATGGTATTCAAATCCAATGAAAATCAGAGAGACAAGATAGCATCGTGAGTTGATTATGGTCTTTTTATGCTAATAAATGGTCTAATTAATAGGATGCAGCTATGGCGGGTGTGGCGCCAGGCAGGGTAAGCTTACTCTTCCGGACACCTGTTACCACTGTTTGTCATGTATTTTGTACACAGTGAACAGTCCATTTGCTGATTACACTATTTTGCCTATACCGGTTTTTTTTTTAGGACTTCGAATTTTGTCTAATGGTTTGGATTGTTCGTACTTGGTTTTATTTTATTATATAACATTTCAGGCCTAAAGTAAGATCTACAATAGACTGATTTAACTCTTGCATAATGCATGTGTAAAAAAAAACATAGCTAGGAGAAACCCTGAGAAAGGTTCATCTATGCACAGCCCAAAGAACAAATGATTTTGCTTTTATTTATTAAATCATGATTAAATTAACATGTCGCATCATATGTAATGCCATAAGATAAACTTTCCCAGGAGATCACTGTTAATAAAAAAAACAGAAAGATATACCACTCCAACTTCCTGCACATTTACTTTCTAACTGTTTATTCACTAACAACAATATTTCCAGACTCCAGGGCCCTGTTTCTCAAAATCTTAACTAAAGATAAAATCCAAATTTTAGTAGATACTTCAATTTTGATTGGCTAAGCTCTAAAATCAATCTAATATTATCCAATCAAATTAGTAAAATTTGGATTTTATCTTAGTTAAAATTTCATGTAACAGGCCCCTGGGCATGAAGAGTAGCAGTTTGTGTGATCTTGTAAATGTTGAGCGCAGATTACCCTCCTCGGACAGATTACTCCCGCACATGAGCGAATCTCTGTCTAATTTCCGATGAGTAATCTGCGCGCGCGAAGTGAACTTTGTCCGGACTAATATGGATTACCGCGATGATAATCCGCCTAATCTTACTCGGTATTCACTATCAGTGCGTTAGTATTAGTAATTTTAATGATTACATTTTAATGAATTTTGTAACCGTCTGTTTACTGGTCGAGCAAATCGGAGCAAATCGATACGGAAAGAAAAGTATCACCACATTTGACTACCAGAAATTTCCGTCGAGAGGTCTACATGACATACTTTGTGAACCTACATACGGGTCTCTAAGACTTTGTTACTAAAGTAACTACGATCGGTCAAACTATTATTACACTACAGCAAATATTTTTGACATTCAGTCACGTGGTCAGCACCAATTATGAGATACTGCTGACTAGAATTAAAAATCTTATTTTCTAAGCACACACGATAATTATGCAGTGATTTTGAAAATTATTTCACTACAAAGACCACAGGAGGCAGGTCATATATAATAGAATATATAGTTGCGTCTGACACACTACAATATCTCTAAAAACATTGTGGGGTAATCAGTGCAAAGTTGGCGATCTGCGCGCCAGCTTCATAAGCGCAGATATCTGCGCGCGCGGGGTCCAATATGCGCACGCAGAGTGCAATCTGTGCAGGATGACAGCGCAGATTGCAATCAGCGCGAGGGGTGAAGATTGTGCCTTACATAAATACTGAATGGAATTGAACCATTTCTGTATTGATTTTTCTGTTAGTAATTTAACTTTCACAAAACCGGTACTGTAGTTGGAAGGGATAAAAGAAATCACTCAAATGATGTTCAGATATTTTAACACATGTGTAACTCAACATATCTCTGCTTTGAGATAATTGAGGAGGAAAACTTTTCTTAAGTCAAAAACCTCAGCTCAGCAAACACAATTTTATCCCAAATTTATATTCTTATGGAATTTTGAGTAAATTAGGCAATTACTATTAGTTTCGGGGCGTTAAGCATCGCATGTTGATTTGTTAATTCTAGGTAGGTTGTGTGAATAAGCTTGTGGTTCCAATTAAATGTAAAAACTGTGAAAACGATGTTGATGGAAGAGTTATGTCCCTTCCATTTCTACGGGAACATTTCTCAAAAAGTTATCAAATATGTTTTCTTGTTTTGTATAGAGCTATTTCTCGAAATAAATACAAATATTCAACCTTCATATTCATCGGCAACTACGCCCAAGAGAACTGTTAGAGTGTGAATAATGAATACTACGCCAAAAACTTCCACAAAAGCAGTCAACGTCTGTTTTCTATTCTGCTTCATGGGCGCTGCCATTTTGTTTCTGCTAGGACTTATGGGATATGTTTCTGTTTACGTTGTCAATTTAGTGCGGCTATTCCGGTAATCGCGCTCACAAGTACCTGTCAAATTAGATCACGTGAGGAATATAGGTCAAAGTCAATTCATGACATAACTTCATAATGGTATCGCTAGTATAGGATGTTTGGAATCGCACGTTATCAAAATGTTTTTAAAATGTCGCATTTATTTGCGGAAACGTAGAATCAATGCTCATGATAGTTTTAAACTAGGGGGTGTTTATATAAGTCAGCACCGTCATAAATACAACGGTGACCTATAATTCACACCACGTTGCCATTGTCAAATATTGGGCTTAAAACAGCTCTATTACTTTAATTTTTTGATAATTTATGATACATTTTGATAAAGCGTCTCGATAACCTCCAAAAAATGGTGAAAATCGTTCGATATTGGCTCTTATATCATTTTGTAAATAAACTTAACATCTGCGCAATATGCCACTGAATATGTTGACCCCGTGCCGGCGATGTGACCTTGCTAATGATTGACAAGTCCTCCTTTTCAGCCAATCAGCTTGCAGAATTACTTAGAGGCGTCGAAGCTCCAGCCAATCACCTGCGAAGGAGCCGATCATCTGGTTTTGTTGATATTTTGCTCTAAGCTCCGCCTATTTTGATACCATAACAAACCGGCGCACTTCACCGGCATCGCTGAAAGCTGTTACAAAAGTGACCATACTGAGACTATTCCTGGGAATTTTTGGATTCTGAAAATTTTGATAAACTGTTTAGAAATCAGTGGTTCTCGATGTAACTCAAGATTGTGAAAATGTTTGGAACGAGGCGATTAGCTAAGCGTTCTATTGTGGGCACGAAAGTGTCAGCATTATATCAAGATGGCCGTTATTATACGGGTGTAATTCTGTCCCAGATAGCCGAGGAAGGCAACAATTCAACCGGTCTTTATTCGGTCAGATTTGAAGATGGTATTGAAAAATCCGTCACATCGAACAATATTATAGGACCCGGATTCGATACCATTATGGCAAAAACTTTGAAAATTGGACAGAGAGTGTTTATCACGATGAATGGACGTGAAGTTCGTGGAACGGTCGCCGTTCATGATAAAATATCGGACGAAGTTATGATAAATATTGACGATATGAAACAAGTGATTCGAAAAATCGACGAAATTCGACTTATGGAAAGCAGAAAATCGGCCAGATTATCCGACCAAGATACCGACTATTCCAAGCTGGCTGACGTCACCGAGCCGAAAAGGAGAACCGTGTCCCACTTTATCGACGTTCCAGCCAAAAACCCGTAAGTTCTATTTTTAGTCCTAGATAGCGAAGATTCGCTAAAAATACAGCTGACTTAATAGTACACATTTATCTTCTGTAAACTTGCCGCTCTGTTGTGCAAGCACGAAGCTTTTATAACGGAATGACGTTTGTAGTTTTATTATGCATGAATTCTTTTTTTTATGTTTACTCAATGTCAAGCGTTCAACAACGTGCACGCGTGACGAGAGACATCGACTGAGCGAGATGAAGTCAGCCGAAATCCGGTATGAATGGAAAACAGTTTAAATTAAATATGACGCAATTTTTCTACTCTGGGAGCAATTCTGTTATGGTATTACGTCATGTTCACAAACTTCGTTAAATAGAAAAGCGAAGCGAATGTGTGTAAGATACATCAACCCTGCTTCTCAAAGAGAAGTGGTATATCAGATCCAGAAAGGTTATAGGTGTCGGGCACAAGCCGGGTATGCTGAAACTTTCTAGATCCCCTTATATATCACTTTTCATTTTAGGAATTTTAACCACTCCGCGGGTGACCTGATATGGAATGAAATGGGGTTTAACGTCCTATACATGTATTTCTGAACCAGCTGGGGTGTTATGTGGGACATTTTATCTGATTACTCTTCATAGAATTCCAACTAGCAAGGGATCTTTTACGTGCACGACATTGTGTATAACTAAGTGCTTTTTTTGTCCTTTAAGGGCCCTTTGCCCTACATCACCGACAGTCGGAAGCCACTTTCTCGACAAACACCGGGATCGAGAGAACTGAGGTTTAACGCCCACTCGACACAAACTAGGTCATTTCAGGTCTAACATATGGTTTTAATTCTATTACAATAATTCGCTTGCGTAGAGGGGTCTTTAGCAGTGGGAGGAAACCCACGAGGTTGGACAGGCGACCCTACTCCTTGCCATGTTCAAGCGGGGAATAGAAATCACGCCACCTGACTCAATGAAAGATCTTATGATGTAGCGCCCACGCGTTAACCATTCGACCACCTACCCCCCCCCCCCCACACACACACACCGGTATCAAACCCAGTGAGCCAGCACCACAGAGCCACCGTGGCCCCGGATGACCTTTGATCCCTAGGTTTGAAACCAAATATCCCCGGCTTCTGAAATCTCCTGGTGTTGATTTGGACTAGAGGGCCTGGTGTCAATTTCAAGATAGTATTGACCACTTAAATTTCGTAGACCCACAATCGAAATTTTAAATGGCGGGAAATCGACTTTTTGACATTTTTGCAAATCCCGATATATTTCAATAACTCGATTTTCTATCAATAAATTTGTTACACACTGTGCTAATAATTATATCGGTACATTTTGCCGGAGGTCAAAATATCGCCAATTCACACAAAATCTAAAATAAAGGCACACGTGGTACCGCTTAAATTATATTACCGGTCTTTTACGGTTCATTGAATCCATATATCGCTTGAATAGAGATTACATGTAGTGCTAATTATACGGTTACGGGCACGGACAGGCCGTTACCTTATCTATACCGGTAATCGCGGATAATACAGGTAACAGTCAAAGGTCAATTATGTGTAACACCGGTTTGTTAATTATCTATTACAAATTATGTCCTAATAGAAATCGACACGGTTGATTTAAGCGTATTGTTAGCATGCAACACCTTTATAATCAGCGAGAATTATATATATATGTATCAATTAAAGGGACACTACGCTCATCAATATGTCACAAATTGCAAGGTTCGAAAATGACACGTTAATAACTGTTTGTTTTGTTTTGGGTGCTGTATCGTTGTTGTGATTTTAAAAAAAAAACCGGTTTAAATGGGTTTTGTATTATTCAAATATATACATGTACATAGGTTTAATCAAAGCCATGGATAAGTTTTTTTTTAAAACATTGGCCCAATACACATAGCATTGAAGGTTGAAAAGTTTTACATGCTGTCTCCCTCTCTCCCTCTCTCTCCCATCCACTTCTGTACAGGGATGAAACCATCTTCCCCAATCTCAACCTGCAAGTTATATACTGCTGTCTCCACCTTGCCGCCTTATAAAACCTAACATTAAGTACGCGGAATCACAGCCCCACAGATTTAAGAAATTCATCTATGGCTATTCTCATATTCTCCTGTTGCTAGTTGAAACTGTTTCCACCTCGCATCCTTGTCATCTTATAAAACCCAACATTAAACTATGTGCAAATCACAATCCCACAGCTTATAAAGGATACATTTATGCGCTTGCTCATTTTTTCCTCTGGGGGGTGTTACGAAACAAAGCCTGTCTATATTGTTTATATTCGTACAGTGAGCCAGATAAAGTTTGCTTTCAGAAAGCAATTTCCTTGAGAAACAGACAGTCCTTTGTTCACTGTAGTTATACATGTACGTGATTGTATAGCAGACCAAACTCTTAATTTGAACAAGTTAGATAACAATTACGAACACCAATTAGATAAAATAATTTCTTGACAATTGAAAAAATAAAATAAAAACGATGTTATTGGTGTATCGAACTTGTACCCTAGACATCAGGGGCGGACCCAGAGGGCGGGGGTGACCCCTACACCACTGCTCAGCTACATAGACATACCTTGTTAGAGTATATTAAGAAAGTTGTTTTGGTACATGATGGATTACTAGAATTCGATATTCAATGTAAGAGTAGGCCGCAGTGCCGCTGTCCGGGCAAAATTTCCTTCATAGCACACTGTATGGCGTATGACCGTCTTCATTAGCCTAGTAGGAGCTGACCAGTAGGAAGTTAAACCCCATTTCATTTCATTTCTCTTGAATGTTATTGATCTTAAAATTCTAATTACGATGTTTGAACTACAAGGGCATATTTCTCGGTCAACTCAATAGGGTTAATTCACCGATATTTACACCGAAACCTTCAGCTTCTAGACATAGGCTCAATTATAAATGTCACTTATAAATAATAATACGGCTAGAAAACTGATCTTAAATACATTGTACATCTATCTATCTTCTATACTAATATTAGTGACTGTCGTTTGTCTGTCTGTTTGGGGTTGGCGGCTACACTAGGTCTGCCCCGAGTCTGAAATTTGGGGTATAGGGGTAGCTCAGACCGGGGAGTAACATAGGCCAGGTGGCGATAGTCTACCACTTCTGGTTTCGGGGTTATGACCCCGAGCGAAGATGGGCATTCTTCTAGTGTATTATAATCAGATAACAACTTAGTGAGGTTTGGTGGGTTAAATCTAATTATGCGAATTATGGAAATAAAATTGAACCATATACACGTTAGTCACGAAATGTCAAGTGCACGCCTAAACCCCCAAGGGGAGTTGGATGGCCGAATGGTTAGCACGTGCGCGCTGTATCATAAGGTTTGTCATTGAGTCAACTGGCGTGGTTTCGATTCCCCGGTCGCCTGTCTAACCTCGTGGGTTTTCTCCGGGTCATCCACTGCTAAAGACCCCTACGCACAAGCGAATTAATGAAATAAAATTCAATCACGTGTTAGTCCCGAAATGACCTAGTTTGTGTCGAGTTGACGTTAAACCCCATTTCTCTTTCTCTCCCTAAACCCTCCTTCTATCTCTCTCTCTTCTCCCCCCCCCCCCTTTAAAACTTCTACCAATGATATTTATGGAACATGTCTACGACATCACCCTCTGTGTAAGCGGACGTTAAACTCCACCAACAAATTAACAAATGAACGAATTGTTGTAGATAGGTTAAGTTGTATTATATCATATCTAAAGAATTACGTGTATACCAATCGTCGATAATAACACGAAGAGGTCAAAAGGGGTCATTGTATAACACAATAATATAATATGTTTATTATAAAATAATAAAACCGGTGTCGCGGTTTCACTCGGTACCTTGGTTTCACTTGGTTAGGTTCCTTGTGCACGAGACTCGAGTGAAACCAAGTACTTTTTTGTTTTTGAATTAGTACTTTTCGTCACATCCGCACGAAAAACCGAGGTACCATGTACGGACGTAAAATGACATGGGGTTTAACGTGGTACTGTTCTGCTCCGATTAGGCTAATGAAGACGGGTATGTGTCTTACAGTGTGCTATGGGGGAAATTTGGCCAGGACAGCGACGCTACGGCCTACTCTTATATTAAATGTACATTTTGTAAGATTTAGATAAAGAACTAGCCATTCTTGTTATAATAGTTCGAAAGTAAATGATGTAAAATGAATAATTTGAAAATTTCATTCAAATTACTCTATTGCAAGCGAAGATATTAGCCTTTGAAGGTTTGACAGACGTGTGCAATAATTTCAACCACCGTACTGGTTGATCGAAGCTAAGTCTCGGTCCTCCATATTTGATTAAATCAAAGTATCGCTGAACCATTCTAATCTATTATATATCGGAGAAATCTGATGCCACCGAGAGTTGATTAAGGCCTGGATCAGTTAATTAATGTCTGATTAATACTTTAGAATTTATTTCAGGCCTAAAGAAAGACCTGCAATAGACAGAATTAGCTCTTGCATAATGCATGTTTAAAGGGATCTTTTACGGGACCTCGGATTTTCGTCCCATCCTTACTACTAGACAGCTGTCCTTGTCAGGCCCCCCGCCCCGTACCACTGACAAGGGGAAAACACGTCGGCAGATCCTGATGAACTTTCTCGGCCAACACCGGGAGCGAATCCGTGACCTACAGACTAGCGAGACAGCGTACGTCTTACCCCATTAGCCACCGTGGGCCCCCTAAATGTAACCGGAGCAGAACAGTAGGACGTTAAACCCCATTTCTTTTCATTTTATTTCAATTTAAAAGTTTACGAGGTATATTATCATGGCCCTTCAATGTTCAATGTCTATAATTTCGTAAAGGGAAATGAATAGCATTAAAGTTATTTCAAATAACCGGTAAATACAATCTATTATACCACGGTGGATCATACGATGCGTGACCATAGATAGGGTTTATAGGGTCACGTGCTGAGATACCAAACAGTAATAATACATTTACTAACGTATAAAAATATAGAGACAACGAAAGGTCAGTCATTAAGGAAACAAATTGCTTTATTTTTGACATCCCAAAAAAGTACCTGTTTTTTATATTTCGATCGTGAATACATACGCACTTGAAATGACCCTTGTTGAACTTTTGATTGTCGTATATCGATCGCTCTCTACGTCATAATGAACTGTGCACAAATACAACAAAGAAATCGAAAAGAAAAATAATTGAGTTTGGTACGATCTTTTATACATATATAGATCTATACGAAGACACGCTGTATGATATTCTGTGTTGTTTTGTAATAAAGTTGACTAGTTTAATCTATGTATAAGATTGATACGTTCAAATGCGTATAAATTAAATGGGGTTTAACGGCCTACATTGCTACACTGACTGGGCTAACGACGACGGGCATAGATGATTATATAAGTTGTGTTTATCCATATCTTGGGGTTTGGGTTATTGTTATTGAGTCAAGTGGCGTGGATTCGACTCCACGCTTGTACGTGACAAGGAGTATGATCGCGAGGCCAACCTCATGGCTTTACCCTGGGGTCCTCCAGTTTCCTCCCACTGCTAAAGACCGCTACGCACAAGCGAATTAATGAAATAAAATTGAAGCATATGTTAGTTCCGAAATGACCTAGTTTATGTCGAGTGGACGTTAAACCCCATTTCTCTCTCTCTCTCTCTTATGCGTTCGTGATGTTTTGATTTGTATCAGCTAACATCGACGTCGAGGGATTTTCAAATCTGTACTGTACATGTATTTCTTTGTACCTTTGTATCAGCTAACATCGACATCAATATATTTTCTAATCTGTACTGTACATGTATTTCTTTATACCTTTCAAAAATTATTATAATGAAATCTTTCTGTCATCGTTTTCTTCATCGTCCCATGGCGTTCACGTTAAACAAAACCGTGACAGCTGGAATTCGAAATAAGAGTATGGCGCTTTGCCGTCTTCATTAGCCAGTCGGCGCAGAACAGTAGGACGTTAAACCCCATTTCATTTCATTCCTTCAATTTCTTCATCGCAAAGTAACCGAACGTTTACGAAATCAACCGAAGTGTCGAACAGTTCCGATTGTTTTGGGTTTCAGCAGACCCGAAATGAAATGGGGCTTAACGCCCTTCTGTTCTGCTCCTAACTGGGCTAATGAAGACGGGCATACACCATACAGTGTGCTATGAGAGAATTTTTGCCCAGACAGCGGCACTACGGCCTACTCTTATATCCAATTCCATCTGTCAAGGGACCGTTTACGTGCAAGCCAATGTGTACACGGGATCTCGTTTTTTCGTCCCATCCGAACGACTGGACAGCTGTCCTTGTCAGGCCCTCCGTCCTGCATGATTGACAAGTGAGAAACGCCGGAAAATCTGGATGAACTTTCTCGGCCAATCCAGGGATCGAACACCCGACCTCCAGACTAGCGAGGCAGCATCTTACCCACCGTGACCCCCCTTCAAAAAACATAAGTAGTTATTAGTACGTAATATTTTTGGTTACAGTCACCACCGTGAAAGACAGAATACAAACGACCTCGATGAACTCGATGACGTGGAGATGGTCGATGAGTCTGTCGCTGCCATGGCGCTAACCAACCTGTCTTGTAGCCCAGCTTCTCCATTACTAGCAACATCTTTTCCAGACAGAGGTAAGCATACTATTTTGTTTAAATCACCGAAATCTTCGAAAATGTGTTAAATTGCACATACATGTATTATTACCTCTAGCCTCTTTTAGACTATAGTAGTTTGACAGCATTGGAATTGAAACCAGTTACTTTGTGATTATACAGATTTATTCGTAGACAATCTAATTGAATTAGATTATAATTTCTTTTGATTTATTTTTTTCTGATTGTTACATTATATTTTATAATCATGATATTCTGCCATGCCGAGTTCTTTATACTGGCTGTTTCATCCCAAAATTACCCGCATCCACCCGTTTAGGTTTCCCATAATAATTCACAGTATACCAATAGATTCACGTGATATGTACGCGGACATTATAAAAATAAGAAATAAAACGAAACGCAATTAAAATGAGAAGAGATCCTTCCTTACCTCATTGGCAAAACATTTTTTTAAACATATTTATAAGGGCAAACTAACTTTTGACCCCATTGCCTCGGGAGTGTGGTATTTTGAAAAGGTTATTGCCATTGCCCCGAGATTGTGCCATTCAGTACGAGTACATGTGTTCGTTCAAGCTCTTTCGCCCTGTCTCTGGTAAGTGTATGTTGACTTTAGTCAGAAAAAATACCCTGTTTCTCGCGTTCGTAATGGTGTGTGTGGGGCGGGCGACGCGCGCGCGTTGTATCATGAGGTGTCATTGAGTCAACTGGCATGGTTTCGATTCACCGGTTGAACGTGACAAGGCGAGTAGGGTCGCCTGGTGTTCCGGTTTCCTCCCAAAGACTCCTACGCGCAAGTGAATTATTGAAATAAGATTGGACCGAAATGACCTAGTTTGTGTTACCCCCTCCTCTCTCTCTCTCTCTCTCTCTCTCGCGCGCGCGCGCGTTCGAAACAGTAAGCCAATATGACACGAGAGAGCCACAAGGGGTTCATCTTCAATAGAAGGCTCGACCTCGCTTTAATTGCGTAGACCCACATCTAGCAAAACACGTTGTTGTTCACCGTTGTTGCTTCAGGAACACGTGGGGGTCGGGATGACCTAGAGGTCTAGAGTGTCGCTTTATCTGGTAGTTCACCTCTATGTTTTGATCCCAGACGTGAGCGGACGGCAGGCGCGGGTCTAAAAGGGTGGGGGGGATAATTCATTGTAATAACGCCGTTTTAGCTCACCCAACTGTAATCCTATACATCTATGCACCTAATTGAGCAGAAATATTGTCTCTCAAAGCTTCTGATTTTATCAAATTCGCGGGTACCCCCCCCCCCCGACCTAACGCCAAACTTGATGTTGTCACCACCTTGGACCCCCTGCTGTTCAAATTCCTGGACAAGCCCCCTGTACATGTACGTGCATGTGACTTGGAGATGGAGGTGGGTTTACTCCGGGTACCCCGGGAAAGACACCTACGCATGCCTGAAATTACTTAGACTACTTTTCTTTAATATCACCAACGAACAACAGGGAAAATCTATAACCGATTTCTCACAGCAACAAATAGTTCGCTTGTCAGAAAATCCATTAAAACCTTTCTTGCAAAATTTACACTTCAGATCTTCTCATGGGGTCACATTCTTACAGAGACAATTGTGGCCATTTATCCAGCTCCGTAGCCAGTAGTGGCTTCTACAGTGGTGTGTCCGAGGGTAATGATCGCTCCCCACCCATGAACACCCACCTGAGTGAAAGCGCCCCCGATCGCTTACTAAACTTTGAAGCTTCGCCCACCGATGACGGCCTGGACCTGGAAGAAGACGTCAAACACTATTATTATGACGACGATTCGACGCCCCTAAGGAAGAAACAACGATCTCAGGTAGGTTGAATTACAAATCCTCAAATTTCAAATACAGATTTTCAAAACCACAAACCTAACCCAAAGCACCAAAAACCTATTTGTAGCCATACTACAAAGTCCTACCCAAAGCCATATTACAAAACCCAACACACAGCATACAAAACCAACACCCATGCTACAAAACCTTACCCAGAGCCATACTACAAACCCAACACACAGCATACAAAGCCAATACCCATACTACAAAACCCTACCCAAAGTCATACTACAAAGTCTTACCCAAATTCATACCACAAAACCCTACCCAACACCCATGCTAAAAAAACCCTACCCACAGCGATACTACAAAACACTACTCACAGCCATACTACAAAACCCTACCCACGGCTACACTACAAAACCCTACACACAGCGATACTATAAAACCCTACCCACAGCTACACTACAAAACCCTACACACAGCGATACTACAAAACCCTACTCACAGCTACACTACAAAACCCTACACACAGCGATACTACAAAACCCTACTCACAGCTACACTACAAAACCCAAACCATATAAAAACATACACCCCTACTACAAAACCCTACCCACAGCCATGCTACAAAATCCAAACCATATAAAAAAATACCCAAGAAGTATACAAAACCCAACCATACAAAGCCCCAGCACATATTCAGATTTTACCGACTCACAAGCATACAAAACCCAACACACTGCATACAAATCCCAACACCCATACCACAAAATTCTACCCACAGCCATACTATAAATCCCAAACCATATAAAAACATATGGTCCCTTGTATGCATTGGCGTGCACGTAAAAGATCCCTTGGGAGTTGGAATTCGATATAAGAGTAGGCCATAGTGCCGCTGCCGGGCAAAATTTCCCTCATAGCACACTGTGCAGTGGCGTATGCCAGTCTTTATTAGCCCAGTCGGAGCAGAACGGTAGGACGTTAAACCCCATTTCATTTCATTCAATTTCTTCGTCGCCATTTTTGCTTCATGGGGCCGGAGATGATGTAACGCACCCTCTCACCTTGGATCTGGCCGGCCAACGATCTTTCGGCCAAAACGTCGGTGGTGGAAATATCCTACACATTTGTTTAAAGTGACAATAACACTCTTGCTGGCTTGACAGCTCCAGAAAATAAATAATAGCCTTATTCTAAGTATTAGATGTTTAAATATCCTACCTGTTGTGTAAATTATCCATTAAATCCTATTTTACTTGTCCAGAGGGTTCGAAAATATTTTTAAATTCAAGTCACATTTGAAAAGCTTTACGTTAGGCTTTTCAAATCATTTAGTTGAATTTTTCCAATTTTTTTAAATTAGGTGTGTTAAGATGAAATTTGTATCATCAATTAATTGGAATATTGTTAAAATAGTACCATTTGTTGACCAGAATAAAGATTGGGACATATTTTTGAGCCTTTAAGATTGACCTTCGTTGGCGATATTATATAAGACTCCTTAGATTCAACAGAAAGAAATGAGTTTGTGTGGGTTGATAAGCTACCAGATTACAGAGTATTTAGAAGAAACAACTGCGAACAAACATGTATTTAAAACCTGTGTAGGGTTTATCCATCAGCATGGAGTCCACGCCATTCTTTTACAGTCACCTGCACTAGCCTAAGCCAGCTCAAACACAGTACCATTTTTTTCCCATCCATTCAGCAAACCTTAATTAATTTCTCCGATATATTTCAAAAGGAAAACCGAATGAGGAAAAAACTTGGAGGTTCGCATATTAAAGTACAATAAACCTGAGAGGCGACAGATTGCGTGGGACTTTACAGCGCAGTGGAGGCTTACGACCGCCAAATGACCCCCCCCCCCCAAACCACGAACCATTCACTTGATTTGATATTTGCTGTTTCTTGCAATGTCTTTATAGTTTATATTGTCCGTAGGTTTGTCTGTTCAGGCTTGTTTTGTTTTGTGGATCCCTACATTGGCCGAGAGAGTTCATCGGGATTTTCCGACGTGGTTTCCCCTTGTCAGTGATGCAGAACGGAGGGCCTGACAAGGACAGCTTTCTAGTCCTTCGGATGAGACGAAAAACCGAGGTCCCGTGTATACATTGGAATGCACGTAAAAGATCCCTTGGCAGTTGGAATTCAATATAAGAGTAGGCGATAGTGCCGCTGCCCGGGCAAAATTTCCCTCATAGCACACTGTATGGCGTATGACCGTCTTCATTAGCCCGGTATACGAGCAGAACAGTAGGACGTTAAACCCCATTTCATTTCATTTCATTTTGTTTTGTGTGTAGTGCGGTTCGTCTGCACTTACTAATAATATAGGTTAGCCGGCGGATTAATTTTAAAAAGTTGACGTCTTTTTTTTAAAGTCACGTTGAATCGTGACGGGGTGTTTCAGGATTATTTATGTATTGTTATAATTTATCCTGTTGGCCTGATCTTGAGAAACAGCTATTGACTGATCGTTATGAAATATATAACCGCGAAGGAATTCCCGGCGTCGATCATAATGGGGGCCAGTTTCTATAAATAAGTCTTACGTGGTGGTCATTATAACAGCCACGTGTAAAAATAGGTTACGTCAGCAGTATTTATTCCCATTACGTCATAGATCGGTGCTATACCAATTAACTTGGCTTTATTGGTATGTCGATAAACAGAGACGGGACAAATATTTGAAGAATTTATTAATGGTAATAAATTTATTTCGCGATACCAGGATATTGGCATTACCAAACGCAGTCATCACGGGGTTATTGTGTTTAAAAAAAAAACACGGAATGTACAGAATCCAAATATATCATTAGTTATTTTTATATGTTGAAATTTACTTATGTTCCTTTTAGTCCGGAAAAGTATTTTATATTTTATTCTTTGTTATAATTTCATGGGAACCGTGGTGGTTCAGTTAGTAAGATACTGGATTTATAACCGGAAGGTACCGGTTCGATCCCGGCGTTGGCCGAGAAAGTTCAACGGGATTTTCCAACGTGATCTTCCCTGACCAGTGGTGCAGGAAGAAGGGCCTGGTATTCCTTCGGATAGAACGAAATGCTGAAGTCCCGTGTAAACGTTGGTGTGCGTGTAAAAGAATACTTGACAGTTAGAACACTGTCCGTCTTGATTAACCAGGTCGTCGTTGCTTACAAATAGAACGTCAAACTCCATTTCTGTTGACACGGAACGTCAAACCCCATTTCTTTTGACATAGAACGTTAAACCCCATTTCATTCAACATGTGTGTGTGTGTGTGGGGGGGGGGCTGAATGATGGTTAGCGTGCGCGCTGTATCATAGAGTCTGTCATTGAGTCAACTGGTATGGTTTCGATTCCCCGGTTGTACGTGACAAGGAGTAGGGTCGCCTGTCCAACCGCGTGGGTTTTCTCCGGGTCCTCCGGTTTCCTTCCACTGCTTAAAGAACCCCTACGCGCAAGCGGATATGTTAGTCCCGAAATGACCTAGTTTGTGTCGAGTGGACGTTAAACCCCATCTCTCTCTCTCTCTCTCTCTCTCTCTCCCTCCCTCTCATTCGACATATAGAACGTTACATCCCATTTCTTTAAACATAGAACGTTAAGCCCCGTTTCTTTTGACATGCTAACCACAAAACGTTGCAATTTTTGTGTACATATCACCAACCCGTGTTTAAAGTGTTATTTCACGCGTGTAGGTCTGTGGCTGTGGCCATAACCTAAATGAATTGATAAAATGTCTACACAAGATAATGTTGAACTATATTTAGCCGTGAGTTGTTAACGAAATACCGGGTCTCTTTAATGGCTGCTATATGCGCGAGGTGTGAATGTGTTGTAGTTCTGCAAAGCTGAATAGCTTAGAATATCAAGTCTCGCAATTTCAATACACAGCCTTTGTGTAATGGCTGGTTGAACGGGTCTCCGTTAGCGGTGGGTTGACCTCTTAATAATAATATTCGACCCAGTTTTGTCAGCTGTTTTAAAATTGGGTCATAGCTATTAATAGTGCTGTAGTACATTTGCTGTCATGCCGCAAGCGAGCAGCCATAGTGTAAAAGCCAATCGATATGGACTCGTTGGCGGTGTTTCGTGACGGTGTTATCCTGTTGTAAGCCGACATGTATATGACATTGTCCTAAAAATATAAGTCACGGATACTACGTAATTAATTGATTTCCATCTCGAATAAATGAGGTGAATTTGCGAGGGGTTTTAACGGTGAAATGATCAAGTAAGCGAAACAATGCCAATTTACGTTAATTTCCTGGATTTGCGTTTATCATTCGAAGTTTCTAATTCCCCAGTTGGTCTTTGCTTTCTTTGTAAATATGTGTATTTATAATATATACGGTTAGTAGTTCAACTCATTTCGGTTTGAAGAATGTGATCTAGATAAAATTAAAATAAACAGAGAGAGAAAGAAATGGGGTTTAACGTCCACTCGACACAAACTAGGTCATTTCGGGACTAACATATGGTTTAATTTTATTTCAATAATTCGCTTGCGCATAGGGGTCTTTGGCAGTGGGAGGAAACCGGAGGACCCGGGAAATCCCACGAGGTTGGACAGGCGACCCTACTCCTTGCCACGTACAACCGGGGATTCGAAACCACGCCAGTTGACTCAATGACAGGCCTTATGATACAGCACGCACGTGCTAACCATTCGGTCATCCAACCCCCCTTAAAATAAACAGACCACGAGTCATAAAATGAAACAATTTATTCAGTCAAGTTTGTCCTGCAATTGCAGTACACTTAAAATTGTCCATGGTGATTAGTAAAAAATTCTAGGCATTTTGAAGATTATTAGCCTGTGTCAATGGGGTCTCCGGGGGATTAACCAAGAATTTTCTAAAATCAGAGTATAGAATTAGAGAGACCAAAATGACAGCAACATTATTTCCATGAATGTAGGAGAAAAAAAAATAATATCAGGGGAACGTCTGGAGTCCGGACCCCTAGGACCCCCATCTCTGGACATGCACCTACCTTTTTCAATACCACATGTTTAATTCGATGTTTATTTTTTTTCACGGAAATT